CAATTGAAATACACATTCTTTTATCACGGATTTCAGGTGATCGACATTTCGGCCAATACTTTTTGGTAGTGAGTGTACCTTATCACTAACATCTATCTTGTCTTTTACTTTTTCCTTAATTCGATCGAAAAATTCTGCTGACATTATCGTTACAGAGGATCCAGTATCGACTAAGATCCTACACTCCACATCCTGCACAAAGGCTGTACAATACGTAGGTCCGTAAACGTCGGTATCCCCGTACTGCATAGCACCTTGCGAGGGACTTATTATCGTGCCGCCGCCATTGCCCTCTATTGGCGGGGCTGCCCTTTTCCCTGCTGTCTTGGTTTCATCGCCGGATTATTCCACTCCTGTTCCCTATTCTCTCTTCGATGTCAAACTAACGTTCTGCAATTGGTTGAACGATGGCCGGATTTTCCGCAATACCAACACCTAGCGTTTTCCATTCTTTGTTTTTGACGGAGTTGATACTGATTGGGTTGATATCGCTGTCTGAGTTGAGGTTGGGCCTGATTGTTGCGCGTTTCTTTAAGCAATTCTTGTACGGCCGTTAGCATAGTTTCCATTACTGAATCCGTCGCGTGCGTTGGTTGAATTGTTGATTGCAACGCGTAATAACAATTTGTCGCGGCTTGGATTGCGTCGGCCGTAGTCTGTGGTGCCTGTTGCTTAACTGGCAATCTGATCGCTGGTAATAGTCCACTGGTAAACTGGCTGACCTTCATCCATTCTGGAATGACCGCTGCGTCTCCACATTCCATCCATATTTCTTCTAACGCACTTAGGTAATCGTTTACTGTTTCGGTCGGCCTTTGCGTTCTTGCTTGCGCTTGCTGGGATGCCTGAGCCTTATTTGCTTCCGTCACATACTTGGTTAAGAATACTTCCTTGAACCCATCGACACCGTTGGCTTTTCCCCACGTGGTAGGCTTAGGATTGAGGGTAACATACCACATTTTCGCCGGGCCTAGGTTCATTACTGCAAGGCCAATTCGTCTCGGGTGTGCTGCATCCTGGATGTTGTTTGCAATAAAGGCGATTTCCAGGTCAAAAATCCACTTACGCGGGTTAGTGCCGTCAAAAACTGGATACAGT